AGTCTAACCTGCTCAGGCTAGAATTAGCTCTCCTGAGTTTGAAGGAATGATCTTTAACAATCAACTGGGTTTTTGAGATTCAGAGGACCGAACCTGTTGTCTTCATGCAAAACAAAAGCTTTGTCCCTGAGCTGTCCTCGCAAAACAAGATTCAGACTTGGGATTTCCTAACTACATTCCTTTGAATCACTGCCAGTCACTTAAATACGTGCGTCTCCAAAGAGGCACTTCCTTGCCAATCTGACTACTCATAGGATGTCACAACTGCTTCAGCCGACATTCAATTACCACAGGTCTTGATGTGCGTGAGCAAGAGGAGGGGGAGAGGCACCTCAATGCAAACAGACAAATCCACCCAGCTGCTTTGTGTGTGGCAGAACTGCCTTCCCCAGAAGGTTTTCAACAGGATACAGACCTGTCAGAGAAGACTTAAGTATAGGGTGGGGATGGACAAAAGGATGTTTCACATTCATAGGTGCCACCCTCAGCATTCTGCAAGGACAAAGTGCACAGATTCATATAACATTTTTCAAATCTTTGGCCACTGAATCAAACTTCCAAGATGCTCAGGGTTAATCCTATCCACCAGGCAGCCCTTGAAAAGCATCTATTTATTATCAGAAAACTGCAAGCATGAAACCACATTCACCCCGTCAGAGACCTTCCCCAACAAGGCCCAGGTACTTACTGCCATTCTGAATAAGCCATTATACAATGAATCTGTAGTTGATTTGCAAATCACAAATACATTAAATTGCTTTGTTGTGTCATTTGTACTTCGAACAAAAATAATGGGTGCTTAATACTAATTGATGGCAAATTATGTTTGTAATAGTGTGTGTTAATGTGTAGTAAGCCCACAAAGACGCAGCATCATTTCTATAACACAGCAGGGACAAACAGTCAAATTCCCTTTACGTGGCAATGCAGAGAAGGTGACGAGTTCTGGCCATCTATGAAAATGGCCCTTATTTGTCAGGTTGCTCTGGTCCCCACCCCCACGGTCAGTTTCTGTGAGCTGAGAAAATCACTGAAAAGATTAGTAGATTTTAAAACTCTATATCATGGTCTTGGAAAGGGGATTTAAGTTATAACGTCTTATGATGCTTATTGCAGGGGTCTGAATTTAAAAACAAGCTAGAAACAGCTTCCTAACAGACGGGATGGGATAATTTTTGACACGCTCTTTCTCTTTCGTACATAACGTCCTATTATCTCATGCAGGAAACACAGGCCAAAGGAATTATCTGGACCTTCTATGAATGAACAGAGAATTCAGTGTGTCAACTAATGTTAGGCCATAAGAAGTTTAACAAGTGTGCTTCAGAATCAAGCAGGGATCTAAAGTGGGATTTCAGAGCCGAATAATATACTTTACAATGACCAAATAAAGCAACTTTGCGCATGATATGGAGCCAGGTCCAGTTTGGGTCAACAGAAAGATGCAGTCAAATGTAGCTTGCATCAACAGAATGCACCATTCCAAATTCTTGCTGTGAAAGGACCTCGATGAATGGCCTCTTTTCGTAAAACCTGCAAGATTGTTACAATGCAGCCAAAATCCAAGTTTACACCGAACAGTTAAATTAAAAAGGAGAAAGGCAATTCAGAGACGAGTCACTGCTAATAAGAACCTGCTTTGCATATAAGAGAATCCTGGTTTAATTCCTGGAAGAGGCCCCAACTTGAAAACCTAGGGAGGATTTATCAGATAGTATGTAATACTCTATATTGAAGAATCAAAAATCAGATTTGGCCAACTCCAGTTTTCTATAAAGGTTGCACTGCTGGTAGGACTGGACCTAAATTTTACAAGATTAATTTTTTGTTGCAATCATTGGAACAATGGCATTATGCAATAATTTCAGATTATAGCCCCCAAAAGATCATTCATGTCAAGAAATCCCACAGCTATAATTTATTGCCTTAATGTGGGGGTGATGATAGTGAAAGACCACACTCATTCCTGTCTTCTTCAGGAAATTATATAGTCTGCCTATTCTGTATGCTCACCCAAAGTTACACAATTATATCTGAAAAAAAAAAAACCCCAAAAGTAAGAAAGCCCTTTTTTGGAGAAAAGCATCAAGCACTTTTTCTGTTTCACATCATTCTCGCTACAACTTTTTCTGCCACTGATGAATAAAATAAGTAATTGCAGAAAGAAATCCATGCTAAGGTGATCAGTTTTCAGCTAGCAATTAGCAGGAGCCCTCTTCTTAGCTCGCCTGAGGCCCACCGGGTAACCAACATCCCACATTAAAAATAGAGAATGACACAATCCCAAATTGCCTTTACTGGAAGCTGAGGTTGCCAATGATAAACAGGTTTGCCTTTTGGCTACTGTAGCTCAAATTGGATGGAGGGAAGAACTGGAAATAAAATTGTTACATATTTTAAAAAAACAGGCCCAATTCGTTTTGAAAATCACTACTTAAAAAAAGGAGTCAATATTTTCCTTCAAAGCCATATTGCTAAAACTCTTTCCAAGAGTTCAATTTAGGAGACCAAAGAGTATTTCGACACCCCCTCCAAAGGAGAGCTTCCAAAGTACAGCATTTGGCAACCCCCCAAGAAATCTAAGTCAGGATCTCCGTCATCAGAGTTCACACAACTTAATACAAGACAGTAAGCAGCAGCAGCAGCAGCAGCTACTGGCAACGAAGCAGCCCTTCCCCCAGCCAGATTCCAGTTCTCAAACTTAATAAAAAAAAAATCCTGCATCCCTTTCAAGTGTATTCAGTACTGATGTTCTTGGTAAAACAAGGAGGGTGGGGAGCCAGTAAGTCAGAACCAAGAGTTTTCACTTTGAGGCTTAGGATATGGAGGATAAGGAAGAGGGTATTTCATTATCTTCCCAAAGCTGCAATATAGCTCCATTTAAGTTACGGATTAATAGCAGAATTTAGACCAAAATATAGAACTTCTATATTTTCAGACTGGAAAAAGAGGGAGAGAAAAAAAAGATGGATGGCGGGGATATTTCTATAACTACCAGTGGCATTATTTCAACTTCCTCTCTCGATCCAAAGATTAAAAATATGAGTTAGGCATTGCTGCATGCCATCCAAGGAAGACTTACCATATGCCAAAAAGTGTTTATGTAACTTTTTTTTAAAAATAAAACTTTTTAGGTCCATCATCTTTCCTAAAAATGTAACAGCCAAAGATTCAATGGTCCGTCACAATGTTTGCCCGCTATTAGCCAATCGATCAGTTTACTGATGGAGGACTCAATTGTTCTTTTCACACTGCTAACAGCAGCAGGAAATCAGTGAAATGTTTCCCATGGCCAGGTGTCCAATGAGAAAAGAGAGCTCTTTTATTAGCTACAATCCTCACATACTCAAAAGCACTTGAGTTCACTACTATACAGGATAGGCTCTTCACACTGTAGTCCTTGACCAAGGCTTGGGCAACTCCCCCACCCACCCAACACAGTACAATTAAGCAAGGCAAAAGGAAGCTGCCATCCTCATGGATTTATTTCAATTATCTCTCTCTACACACACACACACACACACACACTGCTGTTGCTCATTCTCCCTTTATGCTACAGCATAAAAGTCGAGGAACCTGTTTAGGTCTTCTCATATACACCAGCTAATGGAAAATAGAAACAAAATAGAACCCAGCAATTCCCTTTAAAAAGCTGCCTTCCCAAGAGCATTGTTTTTTTTAAAAAAAACTTTACTTTTTCTAACATTTAGGAACCTATTCTCTATACAATTTAGTGTACCCTAATTCACATTCTATTTTCCTTCCCAGAAATTATCAATACTGTTCTTTAAAAGCATTTTAAATCATATTTCTTTCTAAGGTATTCCAACCCAAGACTGTCTAATCAATATCTACACTTAATTTAGACATTTACTTCTCATATTTAGTTTATTCAAATCTTATTAGGTGCTTTTAGGGGGCTTTTCTTGTTGAGGGGGGTAACAAAGGAGTGTTTAATCCATGTGCCTACCACTTCGTTCCTTTAAAAATTTATGAAAAGAGCCTCTTCACTTACTTCTATGGCACATTTGGAAGTAGCAATAAGGAGATTCGTATTTTTATATGCCCTGCATCCATTTTAAGAGAGCCTTCTTGATGAGAAAACAAGACTCCCCTTTCAAGAGAGCTCAATCAATTCAGAAAATTCGAATCCTATATTTTGCACTCAACATCCCTACTCCAGTTGCTTAATTTCCAATCCATGTTCAGTCCCCTAATTGACTATTAAAAAGGTATGACAGGCTGCTTTTTTATTACCTTCTAAAGTAGCACTTTAGCCTTTACCTACAGAGATTTTTTTTAAAACCAAGCTACATCTTTGATGTTAGAAAGGACAAGCTTCCAAAGTGGGCCTTTGGAATGAAAGGCATATTTCCTTAATATACTGGATGGATGGATGGACAGATAAATAGATGACAGAAAAAGAGAGAGGGGGAGAGAGATTTTCCATGTGGGAAGGGTTGGTTGCTCAATTCTTACCAGGAGCTGAAGCAAGACATCTCTCAGGATTGTATTTATTTGGGGGGAAGGGGGGGTATTAGGGGAGGAGAGGCAGAAACGCTGGCCTTTTCACATTTCCTTACATCTAGATTTGCTAGAAACATCTTTTTTTTTTCCCCCTAATCCAGGCCATTTGTTTTCTTTGTGTGTGTGTGTGAGGGAAAAGATTTCACCAACTGCATTCCACACTCCTGCGTGTCCCTATATTTGGAAGAAGGGCTCTGTCTTTAAAAGAGGACATCGTTCTTCGAGGACTGGTTTTGAGGAGAGAAGGTCTCCCCCTCTTCCTGCTCCCTCGCCAAATTAAGGAGAAAGGGAGTCCACCTTCCTTTGCTCCCCAACCCTGTGTTGGTGAAAGGAAGCCCCCATTTTCCAGCCTAGCACTTTTCGAGCTCTCATTAAAAGGAGGCTACTCTTCTCCGCCCCCCCACTTAACCAACTTCTCCTAATATAAAGGGGGGGGGTCGCTACCCCGCCCCCCTCGCGGCTCGAAGACCCACCTTGCGTCCCTGGTAGGCCTCGAAGGCTCGCAGGGCCGATTCAGTCAGCTTGACGTGGAAGACAGAGACTCGTGTGCCGCGGCCGAGGTGCCCGCAGGACAGCGCGTACCCCCTCTCAGCCAGCGCCGCCATCTTGGGAATCTCCGCGGCGGTGGCGGCGGAAGCCCCTGGGACACGCCCCCTCAACCATTATGGAGCAGAAACGCCCCTGTGTAACGTCATCCAGCCGCGCGGCGGCAGGCTTAAATCTGCAAAGTACGACGGGAAGTGTAGTTTACAACTTCTCTTTGCTTGGCTTATCCTGTAGGCGCCCCCTTCTGGTAACACTTCATCATCGCTTATTGGCAGGAGCTGAAGCCACAATCTGCGCAGGGGCCACATGTCGTTAGGCACGTAGGGGGATGTGGTCTTTTTTGTTTCTTCTAAAATGTTTCTCTATTTCACTTTTTGAAGTGTTCTAAATCAGGAGTCTCCAGCCTTGGCAAGTTTAAGACTGGAGGACTTCAACTCCCAGAATAATTCTGGGAGTTGAAGTCCTCCAGGCTTAAAAGTTGCTAAGGTTGGAGACCCTTGTTCTAAATTTTAAGGTAAGACTTTTTTTTTTTTACGGTGTGCGGTGGTGGCTCTAGGAAATGTTGATTTTATAGATTCCAAATATGTACAGGTCTTTTATGCAGAAAATCTAAAAGAATTTGGTGCCCCTTCCTTAAAAGTAGGCAATGACGTTAGTTTTAGTGTTCGCGCCATTAGATGAATGAAATGTCTGTGCAAGACGTTAAGGGCTACCGCTGTAGAAGAAAGCGGGGAAAATGGTGATGAGATCAACTAAGCCTCTTTTTGCTTCCCCTCCGACAAGCTATAAGACTTAAATCAAAATGGTTCACAAACATATTCGTGTGTAATATGAAATGAGGTGGGTATATGCAATGCACATGTCAAAGATTCGCAGATCGGTGCTGATGACTAATAAATTGTCATAGGGAGCATTGCATTCATTTTTATGCAAATGATCATATTCAACATTTGAAACCGACGATCAAATACTGCACAGAGACGCATTTGAGCCAAGTAAACTGGAGAATACAATTTGAAGTTTGTGTTGATCGAGTGTTAATAATCCTTCGGTTGATAGAAAAGCCTTAAATACTTACATATACAACCTTTACTTTATCCTATTGCAATGTGTTACGAACTACCGTGTATTTCTATAGAGAGCGGCTATAAACCACCAACATTCCCACGCAAAGAATTCTGGGGAGCGCCTCCCCTCTTCACTTGTTTCTAGACAGAGGGGCGTGGTGATAGCGAAGACACGCCATTGGTGAAACGCGCCTACAAGAAGGCGTGGCTATTCAAATTAACCTTGATATCAGACTGCTGAGCCGTCAACGGTTTGGGCCACCGGAGTTAGGGCTGCTAAAATAGGAACTGTCACTAGGTGGCAGCAGTCGCCCTAGCATAGAGGGCGAGGCTGCTTACCGCTCTTCTTCGTATCTATGAGCTAAGAGAGCTTTGTCCGGCAAGGGAAAACAGACATGATCCGGAAGATATCGCTGCGAATGACCGCCCCTTCCGCTTAACCTTTCCGTTTGTCTCCTTAGCACGAACTGCAAGGGCTTCAGTTTCGAGGAAGAGCAAGTATGGGCGAATGTTCGGGTCGGAGCTGAGAGGGGAGGGGAGGTATGAAAGCGGAGGAGGAAGGCAGCGGACTCGGTGGCTCATGCGAGCGGAAACCGGCCGTTGGAGACTGGGGATGGACCCGTGCTTAGCCCCCCCCCCTCCCCCCCAAAGTGCTTTCTTTCAAAAAGTAACTGGACTTTCTTTGGTTTTTTTTCACCTTGAAGACGTTTCGCTTCTCATTCAAGAAGCTTCCTCAGTTCTGAGTCAGAGCTCCTTCAGTTCCGAGCCAGAACTGAAGAAGCTGCTTGGATGAGAAGTGAAACGTCTTCAAGAGAAAAACAAAAACAAAGAAAATCCAGTTTCCCTTTGAAAAGGCACCTTTGGACAACCTTAACCTGGATGACTGAGAATCACCATAGACCTTATTACATTGTTTCCTCATACAGAGAGTGGTAAGGACAGCTGAGAAGATTATAGGAAGCTCGCTTCATGTCATTCAGGATACTGCTAATAAGCACTAGGTTCTTATAAGCATTGTTAGAGACCCCGCACACCCACTTCAAGGTTTGTTTCTGTTGCTTCCCTCTGGGAAGAGGTTTTGAAGCATTTCTAGCAGGACTACCACATTCTGTAACAGCTTTGTTCTAGGCCATCCATCTGGTAAACTCGCAAGATTCATTTTTCTTGCCATGTACATGTATACAACTGAACTAGACTGTGTTTCTCTGTGCAGTATAATATTTGTGGTGGTATGCATAATTTTGTACTTCATCATGTTTATGTAGTTTATATTGGGTGAGGAGACCCTTTGAGAGCTGAATGCAATGAAATTTCATTTTAAAGTATGCTGATTAGTGTACGTTCAAAGTGACAATAATGTAATAACTTTAAGCCTACTTAATCTAGATCTGGGGCCCCCAAATTTGGAAGGATCATGGACTTCAAATCATGGACTTGAACTCCCAGAGTTTCCCAGCCAGCATTTAACTTGACAAGGTCCAGAAACACTAGTAGTCTAGATCAATGGTCACCAACCAGTGGGCTGTGAGAAAATTTTGGTGGGCTGCAGAGAAATCTCACCCCCAGAGCACTCCCCAAAGCAATTAATCCAGACTGCGCAGAAACACAAGGCTGCGCCACCCGCATGGCCCGCGGGAACCCTCCCCGCCCACTCACTCCTTACCTGGTAAACTTGCCTTCTAAATTTCTATTTTTCCTTTTTCTGACCATCAGCTGTTCTGTGTGGGGAGATTTAGATTAGCTAGGAAGCAGGAAATGGTTGGATTTTTTGCTTTTTAGCTAGCCTTTAGATCTTCGGATCTGCTTTTAAATACAGCCAAACATCCCTTAGGACTGAAGGTTTGTTTGCAAGCAAATTCACTGCAGACTCACGGCAAGCAAATTTGAGACTGAACTAGCCAATGACAGATAGATCAATGAATGATTCTGTGAGCAATTCAGTGTGCCTGCTCTGCTTGATTTTGGGTAAAAGTTGCTCTTTTTTTAAAATAAAAAATTCAATATTTACATGCATGGTGTGTTGTGAGTTAATTTTGTGAGTTTGCTAGCTAGCAAATTTTATGAGTTTACTTGCAAGCAAATTTTATGTGACACACTGAGCTAGCCAATGGGCAGATAGATTTCTGAATGAATCTCTGATTCTGTGAGCAACTCAATCTGCCTGCCTGCTTTGCCCAATTTGGGGTAAAAGTTCCTCTTTTTTTAAAATAAAAATTTCAATATTTACATGCATGGTGTGTTGTGAGTGAATTTTATGAGTTTGCTTGCAAGCAAATTTTATGTGACAGACTGAGCTAGTGGCAGATAGATCTCTGATTGAATCTGTGGTTCTGTGAGCAACTCAATCTGCCTTCCTGCTTTGCCTGATTTTGGATAAAATTTGCTCTTTTTTAATAAAAAAAATCCAATATTTATATAAATATTTATAATATTTACATACAAGCCATGCCCAGCCAGTCACATGACCACCAAGCCACACCCACAAATTAGGCCACACCCACAGAACCAGTTAGTGATCCCTGGGATCTAAAATTATGAGTTTGGTGGTCCCTGAGGTCCAAAAGTTTGGCGACCCCTGGTCTAGATAACATAAGAAGCCTTCTGAACATGTACAGGGACTGCTGCTCTTTTGGTAGCCTTTGTGAAAGTACACTATTGCTTTTCGTTAATGTAATATTACTGTTCTGAAGAAGGTGGGATGAGGGTGGGATAGGTTATGCTTCAACATTTCTCCATAATAAAGTCTTGCCTGATTTCCTACCTTTCTAAATGCAGGCAACAGGAACTCCCTTCTCGGGAAGGGTGCCACGACTGAGCAAACCCTGCTTGAGTAATCACCAGTTTGTTTGTATGGTAAGTAGACTTGAAATTGGCTCTCAGAAAAGTAACCCAAATTCTGTAGGTGGCTTTACAGGTAGGCAGTCAATTGTCAAGAAAGGGTTAGTGTGATGCTTTCTTCATCAATTTATATTATTAGTGAAATGCTGTCAAGTTGTGTACTTCTGTGATCATGTGGACAAAGGCTCACCCTTGTTGATCACTACTTTATAACTCATAGTTCTTCCAAAGACATTCCAGTAAACCCTTTGTTCTCCTCCATGCTGCATCGAGAGCCCAGGATGGGTTGACTCCTTCCTATGACGTCATTTAGCTGAGTCTGCACTAAGATATAAAAGCCAGCCCCCGGAAGAAACCCCAGCTTTTGACTCAGCTCCTTTCAGTCAGTAGCTGTGTCTCTGAAAGCTTCTGTTAGATAACACTCGTCAGCGATCTTCAGTACCGTTTTTGCTCATTTCAAGCAGCTCCCAGGATCTGGGCAGCTGCTCTTCCAGGAGAGCAGGGCTCTCTCTCTCTCCTGCAACGTTGGGAGCAGCGTTGCCAGAGCGCTGTGCAGGCAAGTTAGGCAGCGTCTATAGACCTCCCCCATGCCTGCGGTTTGAGCGGTCGTAAAAAGCAATTGGCAAACCAATAACAGCTTCAGCCAGCTGAGGTTCTGTAGATAGCACTCACTAGCGATCTTCAGTACCTTTTTTCCTCGCTTCAGCAGCTCCCAGAATCTGGGCAGCTGCTCTTCCAGGAGAGCA